ATTATAAAATAACACAATTAGTTGGCTTACGTCAATTTAGAAATCTCATGACTAGCAAGTGCTCGCATCACAGATACCAGCTGTCCATGATGCACCAATACTCGAACTAATGGTTGCGCAGCTTCCATTTTACTAGCTACAATTTCACCCAATATGTAAACAGCCGATGATGTTATCGGCTGAACATTGACGCTTTGTAACAATAGACTTTTAAGTTTATCGTACACTTCAGATGGGAAGACATGATCGGCTACGTAATGAATCTTCAAACGTAAAGATCCCAAACCTGGTAACGTACCAGGTGGTGTTGAATTACTTGAAATTTTACTTGGACGATGTTTTGCTGCTCTAGGTTGTAAAAAATACCTGTGCGAAATAAAATAACGTACGTTATTCGAACTACCGTGCGAGAATCCGTGACCATACGAAAAGCAATAATACAAGCGTATACCATGCGGTTGTTGTACTAGTTTCTTCTTTTTGTGTTCCTTTTAACGTAACTCGCACTTCTCCAAGAAACACCGATTGTTCCCCCATGCCAGGAGATGCGTGCCACAAACCAACAACTACTTCTCCAACTTGAGCTCCTTCAATAGAATAATGGGAGACATCTTTGTCTCTGGTCTCGGTTAACTCTGGCTACAATGTAAAAGAAACCACACTTACCGCACTGTTCATGTACACTGCATCTGTGCACGTGTATACTCTGCGCGCGCGCGCGCGTGTGCGCATATACGTGTACATATGCATAACGTATAAATAAGAGAATAAGCCGAGATGATATTACAGGCTATTCTTACCTCAAATACAAATGTCTCGTTAAAATATGGAGATGCTGTTTTCTTTTTAACCTTTGTGCGCTTAGATATTTTTTTACCATTACTATACATGACTGTAACAATTGCAAAGGGATCACAGCTACCATTTTTAATGGTTAATTCACTACATTCTATTATTCTGTAATGCATAAAGCCAAAGACACATATTACTGGAGGCCGTGTGTGTGCATATACACACACATACATATATATCTATATATACGTATATATATGTTGCATATTCTAGTTTTATGTATGAGACAGTCGTGGGACAGTCGTCGCGACGTAATATGCGACGACTGTTGTGTCACTGTACCGTTGTCTCTCACCTTACTGTAAGTTTAGGCTGAGGGTGTCCGACTTGATGTTGCAAAGCAAGTTCCAAATGAGCCTTGCCTTGGACTTCAGAGTCAGCGTCGACTGGTTTCAGAGGAAACCAATGCTCTTTATTATGATATGTAGCTAAATCTTCTCTCTTTATCGCTACCTTTCCCAAAATTTTATCCTGCTTTAAATGTCTATCTCTATCATATACATAAATGCCAAGGTAACGAAATTTTCTGGGCACTTCAAATTGAAACTCCTCCCCAAAAAACGGACTATATAAAGGTCACAAAATATATTTCCTTGTAAATGATTTAAATATATGGATTATATTACGAGGTGAAACAAATTTTGCAGATTTGATTTGACAGACTTACTTGAGAGTTCTTTCCATAGTTGTCGTCCTGAATATTTCTTCTTGATCCAGCGACAAGGTGCAGTAAACGTCTCGCGTACCTGGCGACCCATGACTTCGACTTTGAAGGTTCTTTGCTTCTCCTGTAGGAAAAGTGTCGGTAGGCGTAATTAATAAGAGATATTTCTTAGGTGAAAAATAATTCCGAGTTACTTACTAATTACGTTCGAATTACATTTAAACCGCTATTCGCGTTAATCATTTCTTCTCGAGAAATGATTAGGCGAAGGAAAGATTGTTATATATTTACATTTAAATGGACTGTGGCTATACTATATCGTTAGACACGTCTTACAACCGTGTCTAACAATAAGTAAGCGTCATTACAGATTCTCTTGAGAAAGTGTCTATCACTTGGTGCAACGATTTCGCGCACAAGAAAATATAAGTACTGGTAAATTTATAAAAATATAATATATGTTTACATTATTGTTTACAATTACATTATATCAGATTATCACCCACGTTGCACAGACACAATAGAAAAATGAATGCTACACAGGTAAAGATACCTACGTAAAGTAACTCGAATGTAATTATCGATTTATTGATTTCCAATAATTCGAATCGCGCTACGCAGCACGCTGCACTTTTAATAACTATTTCACCCGCGTAATATCGCAGGCATGACGAGACTGCATGAAACGAAATTTTACGACCAAATCCTGACTTTATTCTAAAAGGCCATTGTCGCCATTGTGTCAAACATTCGTGTCAAGGTGTCAAGTGTCAATTCGCGTCATATTAACGTCGACTCGCTCGTTATTTATTTATGAAGCAGGTTGTCGAATGCAGTTGGAAGATGGCAATTTCGGAAATATAGAAAAAAACGGGAAGGCGTTCGCGAGCCTGTTAGGAAAAGTACACTGCTTCTCCGTACGTGTCAGACGATTCGAATAGTTGGAATAACGAAGAACGCACATCATTTCACGTATTTCATGTGAATAGAGGATCAAGACAAAATTTTACATTCGACCGAAGACATTTTCGGTACATTTTCTGTCCGTGTCCGTGATCGCACAATTTTCTTACCGTATACACAGACGGTACAGATCATGCGGCATACACGCATACACATGCACCCGCGCACGCACGCACGTATCAATGCATGCGTGCGTGCGCGCGCGCGCGCGCGCGCGTAGGAGGACAACGACGCGTGGGAGTCGGGAATGTACGCCAGCGATCGCCCATCGCTAGCGAATTTCGCGTGAAAATCGGATGTCGTCCTCGATCGATTCACACACATTACCGTCGTTGCCGGACGCAAAAGCCCGACATTCGTCAGCCGTTTTCAAGCTTTCGCTCGAAGAAACGACAGACGATACAACGGATACGGCCGTAGGAGTTGAATTGGGTGACATCCCGAACGCGCGGCGCCGAGCGGAGCGGCGCGTGAAAAACGGCGCCCACGACCGACACTGCAACCGCGATCGTGTCCCGCGCGGAGCCGGAGCCGGAGGTCGCACCGTGGCGATAAACGCCCGTCACGCATCACGCTCACGTCAATCACTCGCGGCACCGCCGCACACCACCCATTTCCCTACCGATTTTGATCCTTAGCCTCTCTTCAACGCGGACTAGGCGCGTCTCCTCGGCCATGTTACCTCCATGACACTACTGAGTGACTACACGAACGAAACGCAAGCGGTTCGTTCATTCTGTGAATGGGTCTAAGCCAGGGCCGTGACACCGGGCACGGGGCCCAGCGCCCAGCGCCCTCTCCTCTCTCTACAGTACCCCCCTACCCTACCCTACCCGCTGCCTACCCGGCACCCGCTGCCGCTAGTGCCGCGTCAGCCGCGTGCCGCAGGCCACAGTCCTCGACGTCTTCGCCGTGTCACCGCGATCCGGGCGTCTCGGGCGTCGGGCGATCCAGTAGCCATCCGACATCCGATTCTGCGATACTGCCGCAATACTCATCCGTATCCCCTCCCGTTCTCACGCGATGCCATTACTTCCTTCTTACAGTTCTCACGTCCGTTCTTGCCAAGCTCGTGTCTACTACTCGCGCTTTACGAATACATTATCATGGAAAGAATCGAGAGAGAGAGAGAGAGAGAGAGAGAGAGAGAGAGAGAGAGAGAGAGAGAGCCCGCACGTAGAGGCGACAGCGAGTGGTCCGCGCCACTATGTTGTCACTTGCAATTACTTACTCTTTATTTCATCGTTTCGTTGCGAGAAAAAGCCGCTTCCGGATTTTACGACAGGATATCGATAGTGCTGATATAACGATATTAACGATAGATTATTATTCTCATTCGCCTCAACGCAAAAATAAGTTATTCCAAATGAATTTGTTCGTCGATAAGTTAATGTAAACAACACAAGTTAAGGAAGCGATTAATTATTTTTGACTGATAGTATCGCTAATCTTAATTTATTTGATTAACGATATGAAATAGCTATTATGTATGTTGTTGACCCATAAAATTATACCCATCGTTACGTACGACAAAGAAATATGCGCGACATTTTTTCAACGATCCAACACGTCCGTTTATTTTCTCATGCAACGAGTCGTCAATGCTGTTCGACCGCGTGTCCTATGGCGCGCGTGCCACTCGCTACGAGGTTGGCGTATACCGGGTGACCAATACATAAAGGTGCGTAATGCGTACGCGCATCACGCTTTCCTCGCTGCATTCACGATGTGAGATGTGAGAATTGCGAGATGTGAGCACATGTACATAAATATGAGCGCAGGATTAAACCCACTGCTCTCTCTCTCGCTCGCGCGCGCGAGACTCGTCTCATCTTTTTCTTGAGCGCGTGGTCGGTATCTTTGGTTTGTCAAGCCTAGAGCTGTTTGTTGCTCTTGTGCACGGTGTGTTACACACGGCGAGAACGTTACATGCTCGCGCGCGTACTCGGGACTCGGGACGGCATTGGTTTACGTCGCTCAACTAAGCGCGTGTATAAGTGGTGACTGTGGTGAGCCACTTCCTGATGGCGCAATGGCCCGCTTCCTCCCTCCCTCCAGCCCTCTCTCACGCTCTCTCGCTCTTCCGTACATTTATTAACAACAAATACAATACAAGTATTTATATTATGCAAGTCTTGGTACGTGCGTGTACTCTTTTCAAGAATTGTCGCGCACGAAATTTATTACTAAGTACACAAGAATAATTAGGATAGTGTATGAAATGCAGATCTGCGAAATAGAATTTAAGATAAAAAATTTTACAAAGATACATCGAGATAAACACTACTTATAGGAAGGTCGAGTTTAGAAAGGCGATATGTTTTCTCGCGAACCGCGAGAAAAGAAAAAATATAGCGTACCCTTGAGCAGCAAAATTTTTAAAAATTTATAAGAACTAGATTATTGATTGCCATCTCCCGCAGCTGCTTTCAGGGAAAAGTTACTGTATCAGAGTATCTCGCTCGACCTCGACGAAATATGTGTATATATATATATAAGTTGGGGCGGATCAATAGAGAGATCGTAGGTCGTAGGGAAAGAGAGAAGACGCCCTGTGAGACCACTAACGTTGCTTGCGATTTAATGAGAATTTTGCTATTTTTCCCCTTTGTTGCCGTCCTCGGCAATCTCGGCATGCGAACGAGCGCGAGGTTACACAAGGAGCTGTCCTCGCGTTACCTCCTTGCGAAATGATCGTATCGAGCACGTTGAAGCTTGAAATCATACTAATTTCTAGGGTGGAAATCTCCGTGAACTGAAAAATGTATTAATGTGTGATGGGTGATTTTCTCCGAGATTTTCTCTGCGGGCGCGTCGATGCTCGAGGTTCCCCCTTGACGACATATCGCTATCTAGATCTTAATTATAAAGATTTATGATATTATGCAGATTGCAGAGAGCAACTAGCTCTCTCGGCGTAACTAGCGTCGTATACTTTTGCAAGACTTTCACGGAAGATTTTCCCACGTGGCCCGTATATACACGCCGCGCCCGCGCCGCGCTCATACGCTCTTTCCGCGACGCGTCTTTTAAATTTAAAGGTAAAAGAGAATCATGGCTTTTCGTTCGTTTCTTTATTCTATATGTCTTATCGTCACATTTTCACACATTTCCATGCAACATGCAACATCTTCCGTACGTTAATAAAACCCGAATTACGTCAATTGACTTAATTTTGCTCCACACTATTTTATTTTCCATGACACGGAAAACGTTTGAAATTTCAGTTATTCTATACAATCTACATTATTTCTGGTACGTCTGATCTGACAATAAGACAATCTATTCTTTTGTAACGATAAACCAATTGATTAAAGATACGTACGCTATCAAATCGACTTGGCTTTCTCTCGGCCAGTTTTATCAAAACTAATATTGCATCGTCCGCGTCGTACAAGCAAGTTGTAAACATTATCCTCGACGTCCTCCTCCTTACCGCCGGAAATAGGCTCCTTGATATACGTCCTTTCAACTAACGCGAGTGCGAGTGGGAATAAACTAACTTGACGGACAACAACTACGTGTCGTTACGTCGTACGCGCGAGATGAGAAAGTGTTCCAAAACCCGATCAAGAGAGGAAACGACTCACGATCCATTTAAATTTCAGTCAAGATTTAAGCTAAGAGATTTTTTTCTTAGGATTAATTATAAATTTACACAAATGAAGCATGTCCTACGGACCTACGAAGTTGTATTACGACACATCGTACGATACTATAATAATAACATGTGGTAAGAGAGAAGAAAGAAACTGTTGGATGGCGGATTAGAAATATAAGTATATTGGATAGTAATATAAGTACACGCGCGGGTGACGTGTGGACTTGTTTTTCATCGACAATAACCGTCGCTCGACAGAGGACGAAAAAAATATATTAACGACGATGCGCGCATAAACGCGGCAGCCAGGAGTAGTTGGATGGTCGAGGGTGGAGGGTGGAGGGTGGCGGCGAGCGGCGAGTCCAAGTCACGACGCGCCGCGCTGCGCCGCGCCTCGATCGAGCGAGCGCGTGAATGAAACGGGTGGAGCGGTTACGAGGAAAAAATATGAATGAAGTCGTGGTAGTGACAGTCGCGTACGGTTTACGTTTAGCGCGCATGCGTCCCCGAGCCGTAAGCCGTAATGCATGTAGCACGTGCATCGTTTCGTGTCATTCAGCGTCAACACAACAGCGTCGTAAAACTATGCGAGGAGACGGCCGGACGGACGATCGGCCAAGGTGAGATGTCGATATAACGTCGCGTCGTCATTCGTCATATGCCATAGATCGCACGTGCTACTACAATATTGTTAAGTTAACGTTCTCTCCTTCTCGCTTACGAATTTGTTTTTTTTTTCTTTGCAAAACGAAGTCGGTGTCCGCGTCGGTGACAATAATAATCCCGCCGATGACAATCGATAACGACGATAACAATTAACGTGTATAGCGCGTGGACCGACGACGGCGAAATTCTTTCCTCCTTGCTTCTTTTCTCCTCTTTATCATCGACCCTATACTGAAATAGCGGGCGAGAGGATCGGATCGTTAGATATCTCACTTGGAAAAATGTCCGATCTACGCGATGCATGTCAGTCAGATATGTTAGATTTCAATGGTGTCATCTGATGTCGACGTGCGACGCGCGCGGCCGCGGAGAACCTTCCTGAGAGGAAAGATGGAAGCTTTATTAATAACTCTGCTCTAATTGTAAGAGCACAAGGTATCGCGCGTTATGCTTTTTCTCAACCGATCTCGACTGATGCAATTCAGGGAGTCTATAGAATTCGCTCTAGAATTCTAACGCAAAACGCCCATCAACGCTGACACGATGCCGCGCCGTCTCTCTCATTTCTCCGGTCGCTCCGATCGACGGAGGTGAGAATCCGAGGCCGGGGCCGGGTATGCCGAAATTGGCGAAATTGTTACTCGACTCGACTCGCGTATATTTGAAGTTGGACTAGTTGGAGGCACTTGAGATTCCTGTGGGCGCGAGCAATGTGTTTAATTACGTGTCACGTGTCACGCGTATCGCGTGCGCCACGTGTGCGCTGTATGTACGCGGCTATAATATCGAGTGCAATCGAGTGTGTTTCTCGCACTCGTTACGCGTCAATCGCGTCATAAAGTCATAACACGTCATATCGCGTCATATTGCCGGCGCCGGAGTCCGCGACGTATACTCGTACATATGTACGCGCCACGCGGACGTGCGAACGGTGAACGCGTCACGAAAATTGAGCGCGGCCAATCAGCCAATGTACCTTTCCTACGATTGAGAAATTGAGATGACTCGTTACCGTTGGCGCGATGCGCGCTTGTGCGTGCGTGCGTGCGGGTGCACCTCGTGAAAATATATATGGATAAGCGAAGACGCGCTTCTCTCTAATCTCTATTAGGTAGCTCATCGTGTTGAGATGCGAAATTTGCAATTTTGAAATTATTTTCAGTGACGTGCGACGAGCACCAGTGAAGAAGCACGATCCTTTCTCGAGATAAATTTATTGTCGATTTTTGCGCAGTAGGGCGCGACTCGGATCGGCATCGTACCTATTTCTCCTCTGATGAAATTTTTCTCCTGCCGCGATGCCGCCCGAACGGCGCGGGCCACGTCTAACGGAGAAGTTGCTCCGGAAGTCGCTCGATCTTTATTCCCAGTTTTGCGTTCAATGGTTAAATTCTAAATATAAAGTCGCGTATAAAGTTGCGCACGCTTGCCCATAGACACCTATGTACACGCGTGAACGTGTTTGGTTTCGAGTTTGGAGCAGTGACCACCCGGCATAACGCGCTTGGCTCGCACCTCGCATCTTTCCTAGCACCGCAAGTTATTCTCTTTGCAAGTTATTCGATTCGAGCCAATTTTTTCTTATCGCTTATTTGCTACGTACATCCAGACTCAAAACGAAAGCGATTTCATGATTGCACGTGGGATATGTTACATGCCATGCAGTATGTAACGTATGTATAGGTATTATGTGCGTGTGCAACTGTCGGTTTATGTATATACGCGACACGTTAATTCTCGTAATTTGTATCTTGCATTCGCAATCTTACTCTCGCCCCTCCCCCCCCTCTCTCTCTCTCTATGCGTTTGCCAATTTTTTCCTTCGTTACTTCAAAGCGAGCGAGCGACATACAAATTTTGTGCTCGCTCCGTATCGATGTACATATAATAAATTTCGGCCAAGTGAACGATAGAAAATTTATAATCTATGACATAGAATTATATGGCAGAAATGGGGAAAAACGGTTGTTGCGGACCACGCAGCAATAAACGTAGGAAACGGTAACAAACTTCCTAAACAGGGAACCGACAAGGGGAAGAAGCCCATCCGTTCGGAGGGTCTTTCACAACCCTCTCCCCACACCCCCCCCCCCCTCCACCAACCGAGTGAATGAGGCAAAAAAGTACAGCGACCTATAATTTCATTATAATTAGCTTCCGCCGATATTACGTTATGTAATTTAATTGTGCCCTTGCGATCGCGCACTTGTTCCGGCGTCCTTTGCGCGAGATTTCTTTTTGCTATTAATTGTAAACTGAAAAACTTGATATCTTTAAAGTTTAAAAGAACGATATATGTAGACTCGTCGAGAGTGAAATAACAGTATAGGAGTATAAGACGAGATTGTTTAGCAATACTTAATGTATCGATTTTCACGCGCGTGATTTTTCATTTCTAATAATTGCTCAGAGCTGATGCGAGAGAGAGAGAGAGAGAGAGAGAGAGATCGGTTGTTGGATAAACGTACTTGTAATTACGAGAAAAAAAGCATTGTGCGTACAACTAAGAATGGTATCTAGATCGAGAAAACTAGACAAGCTACACTATTCTTACAGTATTCCCACGCGAGTACGACCGTACGGTCGTAATTGATCGGTTTTCGCGGAAAAGCAAGCAGACGTTTCCCAACCGTGCTGCGGCGAGCGTGCGATAACGAGAGAAAAGTTGCGGAATAGCAAGAGAAACTCTCCGTAAGCGTAAAGAGAAAGAGAGTACGCACCCGCGGAATCGTGGGGATACAGACTATATACAGAGCGATATAATTGGTATACGCGGGGACCTCGTGAATATCTTACAATTAGAGTCGCACAAGTAGGACGATCCTTTCGGGCCTATTGTTTCTCGCTGCTTGTGCAAAAGCTGAAGTATACTTACGGCTGGCGGGCTGGCACACTAGCCGAAGCTGTGGCCTAGCTTGCCGTACACACGCTTCACGCTTGTCTACGTCTACGCGTTACCCGACCGACCCGCGACCACTGTGCACTGTCGCCATCAGTCACCAGTCGCCAGTCGCCACGGCCATGACAAAAGATATTGCATATGTACGCTATGATGGATAATATGGCTATACGATTGTCGCCAATCCCATTAAATCCCTTGGCCTATTATACAGATTATTTTTACGATATAACGCAATGCGCCGCGAATAACACCATCTCAAATTTCACTCAAGTTTTCCTGTCGTGTGTGTATTCTCGTTTTACTCGTTATACATATATTCATAATTTTTATTATATTTTATAATTCTATAATTCTTCCCCTACAATCCTTTAGATTACTTTAGACTCTTTGATTTAGCTCCTTTGACGAGGGAAGCGAGAATAATCTCATTAATTACAATTGATTTATTTTCATAGAATCTCTTGATGTTCCGATAGTCGATAGTCGATAGACAGTGGCATAATACGCAACCAAGAGGTAGGATAATCTCTTATAACTGGAAATCATGCGAATGCATCCGATATAAAGATTCATTTATCCGACTGAGAAGCGATGCGTAAAACGCGTAAAACGCATAAAACAAGGCCTTGATCGCCTTCGCACCTGTTGCTTGTCTATTTTTTCGCGATAATAACAGTGGAGTACTCTCGAGTGGCATAAAAGACAAAACGGAAATCGAGCCTCACCGTCATTTTTGCGTGGCATTGTTTTATATCATGCCTTCCGTGTAAATGAGGGACGGTCATACCGCGAACAACAGTGAATGCAAAGTCAGAAAATATGGAAAAAGGGATCTTATATTAAATCTTATTCTTCGCACAATTAATTAATAAGTTTCCATTTTCTCAGCACTGTTTGATTGTCTCCCGGTTGGAAGTGTAGGATATAACCGTATAATTCACCTATATAAACATTCTTTTACAATTGTTATTATTGTTAAAAGTGAGAAATGCTTTATATGAGAATGTTTAGCTATACAAACGGATATACATATATATATTTTTTAACTTTAAACTTTAATATAAAACTGCGTAGCTAGAAAAATTTTGCTCAACTCTCGAGTGCAATGTGCATATGTATATATGTATATATTATAATAATTAAATTGAGAACTTTAGACACACACACACACAATTGTCGGAAAATTGTGGAAAAAATTATATAATATTAGGAAAAAATGTACATATACCGACATCTATAGAGATTTGTAACGTGATCAACAACTGATATTTCTACATTATCTAACAGACGTGTGATTTTAGAGTTGCTTTCTTCGCGCATAGATATCGCTAGCTACAAAACCACCTTAACCTTACGCGAATATTGTGTTCGTTGTTTGTCCATACGTAAATACATACTTGGGACAATCAAATTGTGTTGACACAATATGTTGGCATTAATTAACATCATATTTTTGACAATTTTCGCCGGTCGCCTATGCGAAGAGCAATTTTGTTCGGTAGATAACGACGCAAGATTATGTAAAGAAAATGAAAATATTGACCATCGAAGATCATCATTGTATGTGAAAGGTATCGTTTGCACAACCTCAGGTCAAAATTAACTATGATAATTCTGGGATATATCTGGGATGTCAAGTGATTCTGTGAGATGCGATATATACGATGTTATTTATTATAAAATCCTCAATATATTATCTGTTCCTATTCTTAGAAACAAATGAAAGATATGAGAAATATCTAGTGGCGATTCGAAATGCAGAGCAAAACCACGAGGAATGCAATAACACGAAGCACGAATGCTTCAAAAGTGTCATCGCGCGAGATCTAAGGCCTTTTAGAGAGAAGGGCGTAAGCGAAGAAATGATTGAAGCTGCCAGAACTAGGTATCTATTACACCGGTATCACTATTATCACACAAGTATCAAGTATTGGTGACTTAATATTAGTATCTTTTGTCCTTTGTCCTTTGTCTCCACCAAAATTCTTCTAAATTCAATGATAATTGAACCCCGCAGGGGTACATTTTACCAGATAATCAAAGGTAAATTGTACAGAGAGAAAGACTGTATGTTTCCAGCCAGATGTGCTGGAATTGAACATTTCTTATTAAAGATAGTTGGTAATTTGTCCGACATGGATTTAGTTATAAATACCAGAGATTATCCTCAGTCCAGCGAATATTTTGGAAATGCCATGCCTATTTTTTCATTTAGTAAGGTGAGGGACGATTCCGTTTATCTAATTCTAAAACTTTTATTACAACTATATAACATGTATGTACATTTATCGATGCAATTATGTTTTGCTTGTTGAATTTAATAAGAGCTGTGCAGCTTGCAAAATGTATTTATAGACACCACAATATTATGATATTATGTATCCAGCATGGGCATTTTGGGAAGGTGGTCCAGCTATATCGTTGTATCCCCGTGGTCTTGGCAGATGGGATCAACATCGTAAATCGTTGAACAAGGCGAGTTTGGAAATTCCATGGGAAAAGAAAGAAAGTAGAGGATTCTTTCGCGGATCAAGAACGAATTCGGAACGCGATAACTTGATTTTATTAAGTCGTAATAAACCTCACTTAGTAGACGCTCAATATACTAAAAATCAAGCATGGAAATCTAATGAGGTATTGTCATTTTTTTTTTCTGAATCGCTTTAGCGGATTCTACATGTATATTACGACGCGAATGTATGTAAGAAAATTTGAACTTTTTATTTTAGGATACTTTACATGCAACACCAGCATCAGAGGTATCTTTAGAATCGCATTGCACGTATAAATACTTATTCAACTTTCGAGGTGTGGCAGCTTCGTTTCGATACAAACATTTATTTCTGTGCCGATCATTGGTCTTTCATGTCGGCGACGAGTGGATGGAATTTTATTATTATGCCATGAAACCGTGGATCCATTACATACCTGTCCCTAAAAATGCAGATCAAAAAGAGTTGGAGTAAGATAACTCGACATCTAATCTTGCTACGTTGCTATTGATGTTTGCCTTTAATTAAACTATCGACTGGTCTATTTTGTTTTGTTATATTTTTCAGGGATTTGATTGAATTTGCAAGGAACAATGACGATCTATCAAAGAAGATTGCTCATCGCGGAAGAGACTTTATATGGAATAATTTGCGAATGTCAGATGTTACGTATTTTTGGAAACAACTTCTTAAAAGTTATGGTAAACTTGTAGTGTACGAACCAGTATTAAAGAAAGATCTCATAAACATTAAAAAGGAATAGTGAATATAGTCGTGATAATTTTGTACGAACGTTAAATGAATCGCGCGATACTTCTTGGATAATACATAACAAATCGGTACGTATTTCTATGTGTGTGCGTGTGTGTAAGCAAAATGCGCATATAGCGAATAATATGCATTGAAAAATGATTAAAATAAACATATGTATTTATTAATATTATTTGTATGACGATGAAAAATATAATACAATAGAGATTTTGTTCAAGGCACGACACAATAGCGTGGCAAGTTTCAATATGAATTATTAATACCCTAATGTCAGTAGCAACACAAAGAAAGGCATTGCACAATTAAATTTATGTATATTAGATGGTAATATTCAAGCTGCCTTAAACAACAACCAATCATTTAAACAGTTAAAAACAAGATTGTGTAATAAAAAAGTTACGTTCGTGTTGTACAGAAATTCTTTTATTCAACGAATACTGATGAAAAGTACAAAGCCTTTCTTTTTGTACTCTGATAATACTTAAAGGCTAAGTATAATTTTTAACAATTAAGTACTGGTCAAACATTCGTATTATTAGACATTAAGATACTTTTTGAAATATAAGGAAATATATGAGACACACAATTATTAGAGCTGTTTTAACATTTGTCAATACTGAACACAGGAATACTGATCGAAGATAGTTTTCACGTGTATAATCTTTCTTTTCTTACCAAAACGATTGGTGTATGTTTTTGTGTTAAACGCGTGTCAAAGTGCACTTTTATTTTGTAAAATCTAGAAAAGAAAAAGGGGTACTTAATTCATAAGAACTGTATAGATGTATAAATTCTCATACATACAGCACCATTAATGTCAGAGATCAGTCTGACAATTTGCATACAGTTGTAATAATATAGTTATATATAAAACTACAACAGGCTACCGTTAGAAGAAACCGCGAGAAAGAAATGTTTATATAAAACGACACAAGAATTCTCTTCAAACATACTCGATAATGGAAGCGAAATTAAACGTATGGTTTGAAGCGACGTTGACGTATAGAAAAAGTTGCGCTTGAACAGACCTGGCATTTACAATTCCTTTTGGAGAGTTGTATAAATTACAAAAATATTTTCTAAGGCACTTGCGCATTAGATAATAGTCACTTTAGTATAATCGCAACGCACCATGATACTAGCACTAGATATTTATATACATATAAATGGTTCGCGCATGCAAATGAAATTGAACAAAAAGACATTGAATAAAAATAATATACACATAGGCTATAATTGCTTAGTGTTATATGGAATATAGTAGCATTTTTTACATTACATAAGTATAGGAGAGTCTATAATATTCACGCATATAATACTTTCATTAATCAACAAATACATATTTTTTACTTACAATATTGTCAGTAAAGAATCCGATTATTGCTTTATTAATTATTAGTTGTCATGTCGCAATATCCTAATATCCTTTATACATTTCGCGATCTAATCGAACGGTCGGATCTCAAGGAATCAGTATAAGTGCCTTTGACGTTTAAAGTTCTTTGCAAATGATGGACACGCGAATAAACAGGCAGTGTAAAACGTTCTACGTTACGTTACTGCGCGTGAAACATCATTCAAAGGTAGCATAATGGTATCGTGCGTGTGTGTGTGTGTGCGCGCGCGCGTGTATGTATGTATCACGCACACGCACATATTTTTTTGCGCTTGCATTTATAAAAAATGTGTGCAAATTCAAAAATACTTGTTACAGCCGCGCTGCGCTTTCGCTTTTTGCGCAAGCACGCGGCTCAACATCAGTTTAATTGCGACGAAAATATTGGTCGTCGAAAATTTCCTAGCTATCTATTTATTATAAATTATATAATTATCGGGAGCGCAGGCAGGTTCCTGAAGACGCTGCGCCGCGCGTCAACGACAACGGTTTTAATCGGCAGGATCTGCGTTCGAAGTTCGAAGCGGCCAATCACAGACACGTTCACAGTAGAAAAGGAAAATCGATCGGGGCGACGTGGATATGTCTTTACGTAGCCACGACGAACCTCGCGATGATCCCTGTCGCGATGCTGAGCAGAAGCTGCAACGTCCTTCCCGACGGATGTAACAAACTCGCGGATGCCCCAGAGTTTCCGTGATCGTGATCGTGATTCGATGATGTGACGAGCTCGTCGGTTCCTCCTGTCGAATTCAAATTGGAATCGTAGTGGCGCGTAATGTCGCGCGTCGCGCGACGCCGCCGGCGCGCGACGCGGTCGGCGCGTCGCGCATGCGCATGCGCACACTCGAGAGCGTGAAACAGTTGAGGTGAAACATGGCGCGGGCCGGGCCGCGAAGGCGCGAAGCGTCGCACGCCACAGAGATGTCATGTCGGCCGTTTAGCCCTCGCTCTCGCCGCCGTTGCCGGTTGACGATTGACGATTGACGGTTGACGTTTGACGGTTGACGTTTGACGTTTGCCGGTTGCCGCTGTTTGGAACTTTATTTGCTTTTTCCGCGCGTAAATAATCGGGGTATTTGGCACGTGTATCGGTCGTGGGTCGCGCCGCTTTGACCGCTTACTTTTTCCCGAATTCGGGATGTACATTGTTGTCGTCTGGAAAAGGTGATTGCTCCCGGTTAATGCGGGTGGTGGATCATCTTATTGACTCACTGAGTGAGGTGAGTGAGCCTTCTCACGTTTTCTTTTCTTTTCTATCTTTTGTAAGCAGACATCGTCGTTATTATTGGTCGCGTTCAGCAGACCAAGCCGTTCAGTAGCAATCGAACGTGCGTGGCTTTTACTTTTAGAACCAACCACGCAAGGCAGAGTGTTGATAAGACGAACTCAACAGTTGTGTCTGCTGAACGCGCCCTATTGTCTGTACACAGCTCAGTATTTAGTGCTATTCTCATATAAATGCGTAATTTTTATTTTGTATTTATATTTGATATACTCTAAAAACACGTCTGATTTCTTTATACCGAACAGACAAGTTATGCATATGTGTATATTGTATATCGGTTCTGTACATCGCGGATAAAGAATTCGACGTTTAATTGATTTAATATGGCTGCCTGATTTCGAACTGATTATGAAATTGAAATTTCTAACTATATTATATTCAATATTTTATTCGCAGGCTACGTCAAATTTGAAGCCGACGATTGTTGCGAGGGCAAGCCATTTCAGCATTTATTTGGCAAGCACCAAATACACGAGAATGTCAACATATGAATTACTTATTATTGTAATGGTAAGTAATTAAGTATGCATGTGTGTGTGTGTGTGTGTGGTTGTGTTTGTGTTTGTGTGTTAAAGATCCCCATGCTAGACAAAGTACAGAAGTAATAAGAGTATGTCGAATCTTCAAGTAATGAGACGCGAATCTTCATTAAATTAAATCTTAATAAGCTCTCTGTCTTCTATCTTCTATCTCGTGACCTTTCTCGTTCGAAAACAATTTACGGGCCCATATTTAAAAAATCCGTGGCGCATCGGCAGCTAGTAAGACTATAACTATATAAAATTATATATTTATTTTGTACTATTTTTATTTTACTACCTATATTTACTTTGCAAAACAAATTTATATAACTGCATTAGAATCGAAACGTATAGTTAAAGTAAAAAATATCTCACAAACACATCAAACAAATATTTTGTTACTCCTCTCATAGATTCGTACGCGTCGTAAAAAAATAGAGCACGGAGAAAGAACATAGAGAGAAATAGGGAAACTTACAATTAGATTGAGTATTTAAGAGTCACAAGAGAGTGCATTATTTTCTCATAAAATCCCATTAATTGGATTATGGCCCGAAGAAACGTCAGAGGGAAAGATTTAGGGCTAGTGCGTGTCACGATTGCAAACCACACATTATACGTACGTTTCCAAAATATTAATTTTCAACGGGCACGACGAATACCTGAGATTAAGTACTTGTGCAGCGAGGCGTGCGTGTAAGGCCGGTATAGTCAAATCTTATTATATTTAAGGTTGTCTTAAGTTTATCTGTAGATGTTACTGCATCGTTTCATTGGCTACGGAGTATCTAAAGATGAACTTAAGACAATTTTACATATAAAATCTGATTATGAATATCGGCCTAAAAGACTATTTGCGGGTAAAGATATCTTTTAATCTGGAAAACGAATGATAGGAAAAAAGGAACGAATAAATGTGTATGTGTGTGTGTGTGTATGAAAATCATGGAAGGAACAAGGATTTCCCGTAAGACCGTAAGAGTCGACGTATTGTTAGAGAGAAGGAGCAAGTCGAAAACACGCTTTTATGCTAGATTAAGTTCCAAACAACGCAACTGCCAACGGCAGTGACCAGTGACTCATGCACCTCATCCCTGTTTCACGCTCGTGTGCAGGTGCACGCGTGTGCTCTCACGTGCATGGATTTTAGAACAAGTTGGTATGGTGCGTGTTGATTGATGAGACGTGTAATTTTGGTGTTATCTACTATTATTTGACCTGTGTCATTTAAGTTATGATCGATGATGCAACATACGGAGAAAGATTCATGCTTTATACACAAGTGCTATTTTTTATCTACTAATAATAATAAAAGTCTCACACTCTGGGAAGGACGAAAATAGAGATAGAGTACGCGTGTAAGGAAACAAAAGAGGCAGCGAATAAATAGTACGCGAAACCATAATCGTAATGTGCTAATGAATGAAAGCCGTCCGTGTAAACGAAACAAGAACAAAAGAGAAAGAGTGAGAGAGAAAAAGAGAGAACGTAAAAAATGTCTCTTATTTCTAGAATATATTTACTCGTGTCTTGTCAAACTGGATGCGGCGACGATGATATACTGCGACCTTTCGCACGATCACCATTTAGTTTTCAAAGTCCGTCGGTATTCTCAGAAATTAAATACTTAGTGTTTTTATCCGTCGCCTGGCTAATAAATACTCTGGGCTTTAGCGTACACTCCGTACAGCAAAATTATCAACGGTATGTGAAATTATACTAATTAAAACTTTTCTTCGTAAATCTTTGTGATAAAGAATCGATGTAAGCCATGAAATGATGTTGACGAATTCAAAACAGAAAATCTTAGATTCGCGAATCTGTATTACGGGATGGGATGAGACTAAATAACGATTATATATGATTAAAATTATGGGCAATGTTAACAATTAACGAATGATAACGTTATAATGTATTATAATAAATTAAAGTTTTATGTGTTATAAAGCTAAATGTTAATTTAGGTTTATAAAACGCAAAACTATAATTAATCGATTAATTAAGTGATTATTTATACTTTTCAATTTCGAGTACGCTTGGTTAGTGATGGGAATAGGCATAGAACAGTTGCCAACCAAAATAATGCCATTAATGTTTTTACGCGCGTAGACTAATCGTGCAAGCATTACTTTATTTTCCCATGTTTCACTTACCTAATTTCGTAACTTCCGTGTAAATATATAGAGCTTGAATTATGATACGTTAGGTATGTTTGAAATACATTTCGTTATCCAGCGAGCATAAGCGTTGCGTCACATCCGATTTTAGCGATCTGTGACTCGATAAAACGCACGAGATACAAAAGAGTCACTTCGAATCGTCATGCTCGTAATATCTCGGGACAACGTTACAACATTCTAGTTCGAACCTACCAGTTTATTCTAACATAATATTGTATCTCAACTTTGTACTAGGTATTGAGAGAAAGAGAGAGAGGGAGAGAGAGGAAATAAACCTGATTCCCCCCTCTCTCTCTCTCTCTTTCTCTATTTATTTTAAAGTATTGCGTGCACGTGTCTTTTTGCGCCTGTGATGAAGCCTTAGTATCGTAGTAGCCAGGTATACGAAACACCAAATTTTTTAATATCGCGCTTCCTGCCTGCCTCCGTGCCAAGGGGATTATTTGTTTCCACGTTGATTATTTTCAACGAATTGGAACGAACGAAGCAGACTACTAGGTATCCAATGTCGCGATTCTCCGGGGCATTAATTTGAAGTGCAATTCATGAGGCTTCGCGGAAACTTATTCATCTCGTTGTTCTTGGAACATTCTTATTACGTATGACGGTATATTAACGGAAATTAATAAGTACAGTAACAATAATTACGCCCAACGCACACGTCGATAAAAGACGAAGAATAAAATCTGTGATAAGATATACGAAAAGGTAACAGAGAAATTAATTTTATGAATTAGTTGAAGAACCGAGAGCTATTAGATAACAGAGAAATTAACTTTATGAATTGGTTGAAGAACCGAGAGCTATTCTTCGAGATATATCCATTTCAAGAGATATTCAATTTGAGATAAGCGCGGACTAGGTTGTCGCGGACAATGTTCAAGATTTTTCGAGGCGAGGCAGGATTCGATAAAGATTTTGTACCTGCGTCTAGAATGATGTCGCCAACGCTGTCAAGACTACCGTAATCGTCGAGTCTATCAGTATCAGCCACGTCCAGGTTACTGGCAAATGCGAATGGCCAGTGATCATTACCTAGTGTCCCTCTGTTAGCGGACTTGCACCCGAACCACCAGTACGCTGTCGATCTTGGGAAGGCGGGATTAGCGTCGTCCACCTGACAAATCCAAGAGATGATTTTTTTTCATATAATATATTTTTATAGAATCGTTCCGTAATTTGGGACGTAACACAGGACGGGAGAGAAAGAGAGCAAGAAGAGGCGCGCGCGCGCGTGTTATTACGTAAGCTCGATGTTATTTTCCAGCCGTTATTTTTCGATCGAAATATATATTGCCATATGTAACGCTGCTATAGAAGTAAAAGAAAAAATTAATTAAAAATCCAAATCGTACTTGCCTTGAACATTCGGTCGTTAAATCGATAGTAGGCGTTATCTTGGAAGAAGTACGTGTAGCCCTTGTAGGTCACTGCTGCGTTGACGTGATTCGGTATGCCTTCCCAATTTTGAATGAGCTTAGGATAGTTATTTCTCACCGGTGGCTTCGACGCTGGATCAAAGCGCCAGAATTTCGCGCCTTTGTAGAAGTAAATCTTGCCGTTTCCGGTCCATACGGTAGCCGCATCGATGTTATCGGGAATACCGGTGAAACCATCGCTAATTTCCTTCGGATAGTCACCGTCTATGGTCGTATTAATATACCTCCAGTACTGCGTGCCCTGAGGCAAAATAATTGTAAATAAGGTTAGTTGTAGCGAATGAAATCTGCATATTGAATTACAATACATTGCAGCGATATATATATATGTACATAAAATACATATTTAGTATGGTGAAGAAAGAAAAACGAAATCAATTTTGGATCTCACTCATTGTCAAGGAAAGTTGTGGTCAGGTGAACGATTACCTTGAAGAAGTAAGTCTTGCCATTCCTGTATGTAAATGCAGCGTCTATATTTGATGGAAGCTCCTTCCACGTGCTGCTAATACGTCTAGGATAGCCGCTGGCCACACCGTTGTCCGTTAATTTCCAGTAATGTTTTCCTGGAAATTCCACAGTAGTATATCAGCATTCTCGCCTCTTTGCTAGTCTTGCGCGTGCGCGCAGCATCTCTTTGCTAGAGAATCCAAACGCTAAACACTAATGAAAGATTACAACTCGTAGTACGTACCTTTGAACGCAATTATCTCGCCGTCTTTTGTGTTGAACATCGCGTCGACCTTGGGATCTTTACACAGTTCAGGATCTTCTTCGGCAGGCGGCAAAGGTCGCGATCCTCGCGACGTGCTCTTCGTTCCATATAGAGCCTGAAATGAATTTCGTATCGCTATTCGAGAAGCACGCTACATCATCCATGGATCCACGAATGTAACTCATAATAGGAGATTTCGGTCGTCTAACGGGCGTACCTGAATCGCGCTGACATCGTCCTGATCCAGGATAAAGTGTGGATCGTAGCCGCGGTAAAAAGGTGCCATTAGGGCACTCTTGACATCGCTGTGACTTAAGCCGAGCGAGTGCCCGAATTCATGAGCCGCGACTTGAAAGAGATTGGTACCGCGATAGCTTTTGATGGTCCATCGTTCAGCGTCGTCGAAATGAGCATCACCACCGTACACGGGAAAATACGCGTGCGCCAAGGTGCCGCCAGGTCCATCGAAAGGATCACCGTCGCCGTGCTCGCCTACCTCGAATCTGATTTCGATGTGAACCTAAACGCGAATTAATACACCTTTTCTTAGAAAATATTACCCGCGTCGAGTGATGACATGAGTAAGTGGATATATATATGTATCTCGATTGTATGAGCCCCTTACATTTTCATGTCCTGTTTTGCGGGTAAATGTCAGATCAGTTTCACCCGACCAAACGCTGAATGCGTTCGCGATTTCTTTATCCACTTCCTGTTTGTTTATACCAGTTGGATACTTGCTAATTTTGTACGTCAGGCTCTTCGTACGCCATCTAGATCCTACGATAAAGCGTTTTAATACATACGTACTCAGGTGCGCATGGAAAAGAGCGAGGGAATATTTGTCTTGTTTAAAAAATATTGCGATGCAGCCTCGTTCGCACGCACGCACAAGCTGTTCTTTTTCCGCAGCTATTAACGTGTCCACGTAAGTCCGTTACGCACCAACGCAACGCGAGGATCTACGCTATAGAAATCCGGCTGCGATACGCGCGTCACGTTCCGATCTTCCGATATATTGTTATATTTGTTCCCCGATCTTGCGAATCTACGTACACACTGTTGCGTCGTCATTGTATTATGGCGCGTAAATTGTTTATTACTCGTAAGGATGAAAATCGCGACTCGCGTGTTACGTGCTCATTACGGTTACACAGCTACGATTTATGCAACAGTTGCGCGCATCTCGAGTAAGTACGACTCTTACGCAACGATCCATTCGATCCGTTTACTATATATATACATATATATGCGAGATCCGAATGAGCAAAATGAGGGACTAACTGTGTAGCGTATAGTTATATTGGATTATCACCGGGTGTGTCGAATTTTGTGCGACTGACATTCCGTAGGATGCACGCATGGCCGAACTTAGCACCAAGAGTTCACTGAAACATGAAGCGCACGTGCTTGGGTTCAAAGTCACGGTTAGCCCGCGTGAAGCTGCGATCGCTTTATTATTCCGTCGATAGTCACGCGTAAGAATGCCTTTGCCCCTTTGGGCTTTTGCCCACTCTGTTTTTTTGTTTTCAATACAACGTGACCGAAAGGATTGAAAGGATTGACGTGGACGAGTCAACGAGCGTTTAAGTATCGAGCATTTTTTAGCGAGACGCTTCATTGCATATAAATGTAAATATATATATCTCGTCGGTTGTAAATATACCTACTAAAGAAATATATAAGTACGCGCCCGTTACATGTGTATTTGAATACAAAATATTTTTAAGAATCGAAAGAGGATTTTGTCGATTCGTTAACCGTTAACCGATCGTCGCTCTATTTATTTTGCATTAGTATCATTAGATCTCGCAAAGTGAATTTAGTACAGATGCGAAAATTGCGAATGCAACAGTTGATTCCAACGAATTCACGTGGCTGATTTAGAATGTATTTGGCACATCCGACAGACATGTTATCGCGATATAGATATAAATCCACGTGACTCGTTTAGGGTGACTGACTCCATATCAAAGACTCTAGTACCACGTAGTGGTAAACGCGCGGAATACGTTCATTATTCATTGTAAAAAGACCAAAGACCCTGTAGGCCTGTAATGCGTTAAATAATTAATTTACGTATCTCTATACGCGTAACCTTTTATTCCTCTCGTTATTTCGTTATTTCGTGACGGCGGCTATTATTAATATATATAATAGCTAACCCTTTCTGTTTTACGCGATAATGTATTTTATGTAGACTTTCCACGAGTTTCAATAGGGACGGTTTCGACGGTTTGTCGATGCGGATCGATTAGAATGATTAGATAATCCCGACCGCGCGATCGATCAAACGTAAAGTTGTGTCACGCCTCGCGCGATTACGTCTACGCTCTCGATTGCATTAAACTTTCTTAAATTTGTCAATTACCGATTAGTCGCGCAAAGTGACGAAATCTATTGATCTTTCGATCAAGCTTTATAAATATCAACATGTTTTGCTCACCTTGAAGAGCGTATCTCTTCGATCTTCCATCGGCAGCTGGCCCAACTTTATCTTTAACACCGCATCTTGGTGTAGCCATAAGCTTAACGGTCTCTTCATTCAATTCGCCTGAAATTAAAAAATATCGAGATAAATTTGAGGATTATTATTTATTCCCGTTGTTCATTCCCGTAGAACCGAAGAGATGAGACAACACGTTGCTCTTCACGAAAATCGATATCGTTGCGTTTTGCCGCCTCCTATCAGTCCTATCATCGTCTTCTGTGTACGTGAATCGCGTGATAAAAATAATTAAATGCCCGCGGATTTTCTCGTATTATTGATTGTCAGGATATAGATGGAGATTGGAGAGTCTGTCGCGGAGAGCGTATTTTCGTGCTGGACACATTACGCATATATTTCTCGCACCCTGTGCACGTATTAATTTATCTCATGCATCATGTATGCACAATATGCATGTATAGTTCGCGGGAGTACTCGTGCACACGCGCTATCACTAGTTTCGCAGCGTGGTCACGCGACTCGAACGCGACATTTACGGATCCATCGTTGCAAAGGTTGTATTTTTTCGCCGGGGCGCGATATGCGACAAAGATTGTATTTTTTTGGACCACAATTTTGCGAGAAACGTATCTTATACTTATTACGAAATAACTCTGATGAAACTTTCAACATTGTCGCTTTTCATTGATAGTTTTCTTTTTTTTTTAAATAATTTTAAATAAATGCACTGTTTTACATTTTAACATATATTCCGAACATCTTTCCTCTATCGTGCAAAGCAAAAAGTCTTGATGGAAAGGAAAGTGACGAACGCAGCCGAATCGTGTTAGTTCTGATGATAGTTAGGGAAAAAATAATGTCAAAATTTCAAAGTGAAAATCACGTAATTTCTGTATACGTTTTCGTTGTACTTCTTTTTACTTATTTTAAGAGTTACATTCATTATCATTGCAGCTATATAAACGCGTCAACACGGGCGCGGGCGGCGCGCGACGCGGCGACTAGTAGATTATGGCCGATAAACGCGTTTCATCTCGGATAATGCCGTCACCGATGGCCTACAATTTTACAGTTAGGTCACTCTTCCGTTCACCTTCGGTTTTTATTGGACTCCATTGCTTGTATTTCGCCCTGTCATGGACTCTCGTATAGCACCACTGTACCACTATAATGTCTATAATGATAATGACCGACGAAGCTTGCTCGCGTTCACATTCTTTATCTTTTTCATTCCATTCCCTCTCTTTGAAAAGTTTTATTCGGTCTGTATTATTAATCGCAGTTGCAAGGCAGTTTTTGGATGTTTTAAGACTTGTCGCGTATTTTTCACATATTTCTCGATCGATATTTCTCAAATGATATAAGTATTTCCCAAAATGATCGCTCGCAGAAGCGATGGGACCGTTGCACTCGCTATAGTAATGACAATGACTCATTGCTTGAAGCGTCAGGTTGAGTTCGGTCGCGATGAGTTTCATCGAATCCTGAATCATCGCTGTTCATTATCATTAACGGTCTAAATCGACTGGAGAAAGAGGGAAAAGACCCGTAACGGGGAACAGGGTTTTGTTATCGCTCCTCAGTCCTCAAGCAGTTTGACATGTACATAAAGAGACACGTATATATGTAAACTTGATAAAACTTAATATTTTTCCCCTTTTCTTTTCTTTTCTTGAATCACACGAGGTGCACAAGCATGCAGCATCGAGTAAACGCATCTTCTCCGTAATTTTCCGCATGAATCACCAATATCAATGCGTCTGCTGAGATTCGATGATAGATAAAAAACTCAAGTATATCTTATACGTTATACATACGTGCTTGTGATATACATGCGTACACGGTATATGTGGTATATAATAATAATACAAATACGTCAATGTTTAAGAATATATAAATTTAGACAAGTAGATGAAATTTAACATACCTGTTATGTTAAGACCGGCAAACGCCTGGAATTCTTCGATCGCCGCCGTCAGCTTATCCTCGCTTAAAAAAGCACCACTTTCCGGATTTGTCGGCGGTAAATATCCGTATTGCGCCAGATAATTCTGTAATATTTAAATACGCTCTTTAACACACCTTTCTTGAATTCGTTAATGTAACAATGTATGTATGTCTACGTAGGTATCGTTCAACTTTTCCCAGTATTTCGGCGATCAAAGTGTACGTATATCGATATTTCTTCGTTGACTCTCTCGAGTCTCGAAGACTCTCTCGAGATAAAGGTATATCATACTGTATCGCGAAATCGTGCAGGCAGAAATTAACGCATTTCGCAAAGAATCGGCCTTTAAGTTCGGTGTCGGTGTAATATAACGTAACATTGTGACATTTTACGAGCTTCGTTTTTCGAAAGTGAGTAACTAATAAAAGATAGGGGGAATTTGGTTAATCCGTGTGTAAATTTGCCAACGCCTTTTTCGGGCTTGTCGCTCTTCTTTCGATATCGTTTGCGTTGTACAATTATATAATTGTAATTTCAATTATATGCAGGTGGGAAATCTCTGCACGTGTTATAGCTGTATATCGTTACATCGTCGTACCATTGCAGTCATACACAGATCGCGTTGAAACCTTCGGCGATTTTTGCCAATACACGCGTCGCTTATCGTTCCGCGCTTACAACGTGCGAATGCCAATCGTACGTGACATATTTCTAATCCACAAACTAAAATATTACCGATCCGATGTTACACGAGACGTGCTCTTTTCTCGCGAGAAGAAGCGCGTGTCGCAATAATGATACGACCCGCACAAGATCGTCATTAGAGCCAATTTGGATGACGTTACGTTCGAAGTACAGATTACCTCCTTAAGAGAATGACTCATCCCTTCATATCGGGCACGGAAAGCGCTGTCTGCTTCTCTCGCGCGCGTTCTAGATTCGCGTAAAATAGCCATCTTGACGAGCACGCGCGTTTCTAATATGCTAGCCAGTAGGATAATTCACCGTTGCGTGGAGAGTTAGCCGATCGATTTGCTGTCGCGTGCATTCTTTTCGGAGCTACCTCCGTATTGATTTTGTTCTTACCCGCGCGGCGGCTCGCCGCCACACGAACGTACGCGTATTCCTAATCCGCGTTTATACTTTATATCACGGATAAACTCGAGATGTTTAGCACAAAGAAAGTATAATTCGATAATTCGAATAATGTCAAATTTGAATAAAATGAGAGAGAGAAAGAGAGAGACGAGATATTGAGAAAGTTGACAACTATTTATATTTATAAGAGATGGTATCGAGGACTCGAGCAAAGAATCCGGCAATTTGTCGTAAATTACATTATTATTGCGCAAAATAGTAAGTATATAAGTCGGATGTAAGTCACGCGAGAATTACCAAAGTACTCATCAGGTTCCATAGATTAGGCGGATTAGGCAACAAGCAGCGCGGACTGAACGAGGAGATTGACCTAACCGACAACGGGATTTACTGTTATTTAACGACACTTACGCACACTTATGTCCTCATTAATATTCTATGAATCGCACAACGAACGTCAAAATATCACGTATTCGTTACTGAACCATGCAAAAGAAGACGGCGGACGATTTACATTTACTCATCTTTTTATATTCCATGTTATTTGCCTCGTGTATTGTTGAGAATATACTTATTTTATTGTATTTCAGAATCATACACGCGGAGATTCTTTAAGGAAAGATAATATAACTTTCCATGATTAATGCAAAATTACGATTTCTCTTTCTTGCGTGACATTTACATACATACAGATTTAAAAATGAAACGATCGCACTTTGTTATTCTGTAAATTGGTTCGGCAACAAGGTCATCTGTAGTATAATTGCGAAGTTATGGCGTGAATCATGCCGTTGCAGAGGGGGGGGGGGCACATAAAGGGTATATTCATTCGGATGTTTTCGCAGTGGTAATCCGATGCATCCCTTGATAACAGTGCAAAGTTTCTGAGTGTAGCCTTGGGTCGCTGATTCATATTTTTTTAGGACAAAAATTTAAACTTACACAAACATATTTTAAAATTAATTTAAAAAAAACTGTTTTAGTTGTGTTATAAATACAATAATCGTTATATCGCAGATTATAATTTTCCGATGTTTTTTTTTTCTTTAACAAAATTCCGTTACCAAATTTTGCAGCGTAAGGGAATAACGCGCGCGCGCGCTGTGCGTGTGTAACTATGGAATTTCCAGAACCATATCTCGTTGATAAGAACTTGCTTTCGTAAGACTGGGTGGTATCTTCAACAGGTTAAATATTAACATTTAATTTTGTGGCCATCACACTTTCTTCCGGTCGAATGAATGAGAATGAGTCAGTGCTCCTACGAATCACACAAGTTTCGTAATATGCTCTAGACGAGTCAGCTTCCGCAAAGGTTGAGATTTTTATGAATGAACGTAAGTGGAGTGCGTCCGTACCCACGCGTGCATGTGTCACGCGGGAATGGTTCCCTTTCTACTTCCCTCTCCCCTCTCTCTGCGCATATTATCCATATGTGTATGTGTCTCTTTGCGTTCGTACACATATATATTATACGTGTAGAATCAACGTGTACGCTGTACGGTTCTACGACGCGACTGAATCAGCCAAGTGGTTTTCCACGTATCCGATCATGACTTGATTCATTGTCAGCATTGCACGGCGCGGTAAAAGTAGAGGTAGAGGTAGAAGTAGAGGTAGAGGTTTCGCTGGAATTCAAGGTCTAGTCTAATGGATGCTGATCATCGACCGGCGGGCATTGGCAGCGATTGTCTTCAATTAATTGCGAGTGCTGGGTGAAGTACACTGAGATGATTAACACATCTATTACCGCTAGCACGCGCGCGCACTCGCAAAATATACGGATGTTAAAGATGGATGAGAATGGATACGCGCACCTTTATATGTATATATTGTATTTATATTTATATTGTCAAATATATTCAAATATTAATCGTTGCATTTTGAATAAATTGTAGCGGTTTGGTAACTAAACATAAGGGAGACACAATTATAGGCCTCTGGGGCACGGAAGGCATCACGCGATGATTATCCGGATGTTCCTTGTGTAACCGGAAATGTACGCGCGGAAAGATGCACAATACATTGGTTAAAACTTGAAACCTTGGGTACAATTATATTTTATGACCGCGCATGAATCGCATCAGAATGATCTGCCGAGTGCACAGAGTAGATCTTTCCACAGCATGTATCATTATTCATTACACAAAAAGACGAACCGCCTACACGCGGAATTATCTATCAAGTTTAATTTTATTTTGAGTTTTTCTCCTCTTTTTGCACGCACGCGCGCGCACACAAGAGGAAACTTATAAGAATTTTCTTCACGACGGAGAAAAAATGTATCTTTGAAAAATAATTATTCCGTCTGCGGACGCGATTGACAGAAATTCATTATTTTCTCTTTCATTCTTTTCTATAGTTATATCATATCTTTTTAAAACCCATATCTTCTTAAAACCGATTGAATATCCATCATTTAATTACGTCACCGAATGCTGTATGAATTTTTTAAAATATCCTCGTGTCATTATCTGTGAATTAACACAACGAATTTGGTATGATAGAGAAATTCTTTATCATCATATGCATTTCTCATCGAGAAATCTCAGAAATCTCATGCTCGTAAAACTTGTAATTTTTGTATGTCGTTCCCGCCGTAATTATACAGCGGAACTCACGTTAGACACGAAATGTTTTATATCCGGATTACCTTGAATCCGTCGTTCAAGGTATGACGTAAATAACCACGATAATATTCTTTCAAAAGTACAGTCTGCGCCAAAAGTGCTATGCTATTGATCTTGTGGATTTGGATACTGTCGTCGTCTATACGTTTGTCGTCGAAGACAATCGTGCTACAATAATTCAATATATGGAGAAGAAATCTTTTATATCTCTCTTCTTCCGTATCCGTATATATCTACTAATCCTCTTGGAGTGACGAACAGACTTATCGTACGTAATTATACTCACTCGTGTCATACGCACGTGTGAAGTACAATGCTCGTTTCCATGACCTGAATTTTTGGTCGTTGAGATTTCGTGTTACTTGCAGACGTATCGTGATCACTGTTTTCTGCAGCAGATCGCAACGGTGCGACCTAATCTCTCCAAGCGGTATCTAATCTGAGACGTTGAAAAAATGCTGATTATCAAATTATAAGTCATTAATCTGAATAATTCTGTTATTTCTCTTATATTTAAAATAGATTGAAAATTTACTTGATCCTGACGAAAATAGATAAAGGTAGTATCTAGGATCTAGGTCAACCGTCGATTGTACAACTTGTACGATTAGTAGATAGCAGGATACCGCAAAGGCCAAGTGTTTCATGCTAATGAAAACTCGAGCAACTCTATCTCAGCGGAACGTAATGTCTCTTCCGAATACTGACTGGTTAGAATCGTGTTCGCGATATTAACCGTGCTGACAAATTGCATTCGATCATTTTTATATAATTGTTTTCCACGATTATCATTAATATTGTAATGAATATCGTCGTCGCATGGTTATTAATTTTATCTCACGGTTTCGTTTTCGGAAGTCATCACGCAAATGCTGTGTCCAGAGCTGAGAGAATTTAATACGTGCATTATGAAATGCGTCTAAATAGTCGAGTCTGCCTACATGGTATTTTATCTTGTCGCGTTATCAACGATAACGACCTGGTTCACCGTCCATAAAAGTTTATTTTTTTCCCTCGTCAGTTAAACGCAGATAACTTGTAATAAATAAATTACACACAGTTCTAACCCTTGTAATGATGTCTGTTTTGTGTGTGTGCGTATTTTGTCTATCCCTAAATTGCTCAAGCTCTATTCCTAATTAACTCGCAAGTTATATCTTATTTCTTCATATAAGCATGGAATGGTGCAGATAAGATTTTTACTCGTCGAGTATACGTTCGATACTCGGTCGTCTAACGATGAAAGCATGAGTCTGATGGACAAGAGATAATTTAAAAGGTTAACTTAGCACGCACAGGCTAGTTTTGTCTCGCGACGTGACAAAATACAATGCGTCTTATTGCATTTGTCAGAGGGCATTATGAATTTGGCGCG